AGAATTAACATACAAAGTGATCCTCTGCTGGTAATACCCTGAAGCATGCAACAGAAACAAACATAAAACCTCTTTGGAAGAGCAACCTCTTGACCCATACTCCTTGCCGCCTGGTATTCCCACAGATAAAGCTTTCCCAAAGATGGGTTCACAGTCCCAAATTGCAAAACAAGAAAACAAAACACCATGAGAGTTATCAAGTGGCAGCATCGGACTCTCAAGAACTTGAGAAATATAATTATAAGATATACACTATACATTGAGTTACCATATGATTTATCCTCTAAAATAATAGCAGCATTATTAATTAAGTGAAACTGCAAGCAGATATCTTGCACCTAAATATAAACTATCCTATCTAATAAAAGAGTAATATGCAAATTAACCATCACTCCGCAACAAAGATGGCAGCGCCCATAGTGGCCGGGGCGGGACGCTGGCAGCGTCACCCTAGCAATGCAAGCCCAACGTCTGCACCCCAGCTGCGCAGAGGGAGGGGAGGAGCCTCAGGCCAGAGGCCAGGGCGAGGGACTCTGCTGTCATTGCAGGCCGGGCTGAAGCTCCTCCCCCACCCCCCATGCAAGAATTTTGTGCACCGGGCCTCTAGTGTTTATTATGATTAAGAAAACCAAAAAACTGCAAGAACAAATCACTGTTTTTTTTAAATATATATTTTATTGATTTTTTTACAGAGAGGAAGGGAGAGAGATAGAGAGTTAGAAACATCAATGAGAGAGAAACATCAATAAGCTGCCTCCTGCATACCCCCTACTGGGGATGTGCCCACAACCAAGGTACATGCCCCTGACTGGAATCGAACCTGGGACCCTTCAGTCCGAAGGCCGACTCTCTATCCACTGAGCCAAACCGGCTAGGGCTCACTCTTTTTTTAAAAAGATCTCCCCCAAAATAGAACTTCTAGAAATAAGAGTTATTGAAATTAAAGACTCAATGGATAAATTCAACAGCAAAGTAGCTATAGGTGAATAAAATTAGTGACCTGGAAGACAGATAAAAGGATATTTACTTATCATTGCAGTATAGAAGATAAAGAGATAGAGAATATGAAAGATAAAAGAATATAAAAGGAAGAATAGACTACTATAATAGCTAATCAGAGTTCCAGAAGAACAGGTGAGCAACAATATTTGAACAAATTATAGCTGATGTGTTCCTTGAATTGCTGAGTTATAAAATTACCTGATTTTATACATTGACTAGCTTGTTATGTCATTTTATTGCACAGCCAAAGAAATATTTGTATTTCAGTGGGTATATTCATTTGTGCATTCATAAAGTCAGTCGGTCAGGAAAGCATTTTATGTTGCCAGGCACACTTTGAGTGCTAGAGATACAAAGTTCAAAAGAAAGAAATTTGGGGGAAAGCGCATTTAGAAATCTTTTAGACTGCTTAGCAGGGCAGGGGCTAGAGCAAGGTAAGGGAGGCATTTGCCTCAGTCACACAATTTAAGGGGCATCAAAAAGCTCAGCAACGAAGTCAATAATATCTTGATGCAATATTTTTTAAAGTCAAAGTCAATACA